CACCTGTGCTGATGATGTGTCCAAAGAGACTGTGTCAAGTCTCTATTAAAAGCTGAGAATGAGACAGAAAGCTTGAAATCTTCACTTCCAGAAGATGTATGAACGTAATATAAAGCTGCTGCTAATTCTTCCCAGGGATTAATGGAGACTATCAAGGACAATTTCACTCAATACTGCTTTTCTTTTTGTAAAGTGAAGCTTCCCCAAACCTGTGGCAAGGCAGAAACATGGCTTTGAGTCTGTGTCGCTCTCCTTCAGTCAAATGGAATTAGCTGTCTTTATTTAAAAAGTCTCTGCTGGCACCACGATGCCGACACTTTCCGAGACAACAGAATGGACAGAAATCCATTTTCCGGGCTGGAAGGAAGGCAAAAAATAAATTGGAAGAATGAAGAGTGAGGAGGAATTGAGGCGTTCATGGAGCTCGCAGTGTGAGTGATTGGAAGTGATGGGAAGAAGGCAGGAGAGGGATTCATTTGTTTAAAATATAGGACTGGAATTGACTCTGAGGTGCATGTTGAATCACTGAGGAACCCAGGCTGCTGTGGCTCTGCCAGGTGGGAGCTGGGCAGCAGCAGGGAGGGAGGGAAGGATGGAGGTGTGCTGGTAGATCCAGCTGGCAGATCGTGGGGGTGGCTCTGGCCAGGCACCCCAAACGTGGGGCAGAGAGCTGGTGTGTGTCTCATGGTCTGTCACTGGAGGCTTCTGGCAGCCCTGCAGGAAGGTCACAGCCCCTTCTGCTCACCTGACACCACCTTTGGACACCAAGTGTGCCTTGTGTCACCTGAATTAAGAGACAAGATACCCACCCAGAAAGGTGCTCAAGGCAGCGCTTTGACTTCACCTCAGTCTGGCAGTGACAGACAGACACTGACAAAATATTCCAAAACTCACTGAAGCCACTGCCTGCCCAAAGCAGCTGGGGAGGGATTTGGGCTGTCCAGGCTTCTCTGTCATGCCTTGGTGCCCATGAGAGCCCTCCAGCCTGTGCTGCTGTCAGTGTTTCACTGGGGACCTCTGGGTAAGGTCTGAAGACACATCTGCACAAGTGCCTCATTTTTGCACCGCAGCTCATCAGGCCTCTGACTGATGAAGTTTGTCCCTTTTTGGGGGCTGGTAACATTACGCTCCTCCTGCTTCCCTTCCCATCTCAGAAGAATAAAGTTCCCTGCCTCTAAAATTCCTGGAGACATCGATTTGTGGTTACCTCGTGACGATGATTTTACTTGGCCTCGCTGTTTATGCTCGGCGTTGCGGATGCTTCCAGAAATCAACGCTGCTGCTCTCCCTCCTCCTGACAGGCAGCTCCTGGGAGCTGCTGCCTGCCTGTCTGTGTCCTTCTCCTTGTTTTCCCTGCCTGGGCTCACTGTGTGGCCCTCCCCCGAGATTATGTTTCTGTTTCTTGAGTTCCCAGTGTAGGAAACTGCACGGGTGAGCGATCAGACACGGGTACAGCTGGAAAGGAGGGTTCTGACGTCTGTCCACGCACACTCGTGCACGAAGCAGGAGCCCTGGGTCAGCGTGAGCCTGGGCTCGGCTTGGCACTGCTTGCTGTGCTACAGGAGTGATGGGTATTAATTAAGCTGCTCTGCCCTCCTGGGCTGCTGACAATGGAAGCTGCTAAATCAGCTGTAAATCTGGCCCTGGGGATTGTGGGTTCCTGTCAATCCCGGGCTTAAAGTCCAGTCCCAAGATTTGAGAAAGATTTGATTCTTTCGGTTCTTACTAAAACCTTCCTTTCTAGGAGACTTCAGTTCATGTTTTGGCAAATTCTGTTGCTAGAAATTAGTTTTGGTGCCTGGCTTGGGGAGGATTCATCCATCCCAAACCAACCAGAACACAGGGAACTCTGCAGGGACAGGGCTGCACTAGCGCTGTGGTCCTGGTGCTGAATTCAGCCTGTTAACACTGCACTGAGGAGCTCAGAGAGAACTCCCTCTTTCCACTTCCCTGAACAATTTCATTAATAAGAATGGGAAAAAAAAATCTCCCCTGAGTAAGCCTGCTCGCAGTGAGGCAGAAGAAGCACAGCAGTGAGTGATATTTTTCTGTGCATTTCTTTTCCGGGCTCTGGCCGGAGCTGCCACTGGCCGACGTGCCCAACTTCTTTCCAGTGCAGATCCAGCTGTGCTGCCGTATTCCCAGGCTCCATATTCCCCAGTAAAGTGCTGGGTGGTGAAAACAGTTCATCACCTGAACTCCAGCTCTTCAGAGACCAGTCTGGTGGTTCACAGCCCAAGTGCAGTCAGTGCTTAAAACCTGTTTTGTTTCCCCCCCTTCCTTTCCCGGTTTCTGTTCTTGCAGCCCAAACAGCAGTTTGAAGTTCGCTGTGTCATTTTCCTCCCTGAGTGCTCTCTCCTTCCCCTCGAGCTGCTGCCTTCTTGTTGGCGTCAGGGAGTTACTTTCCATCGACGTTTGAGCTGAGCAGTTCATTAATGTTCACAGCATCCATTTGGAAGCAGTCTCTGACTCCTAGGAAGTGTCCCTGCGAGGGAACGGGCTGAACATCTGCACAAAAGCAGCTCCATCACAAGCTGCAAGTCCTGCCACCAGATTTAGGTTTTTCACCTCGAGAGACGGGATTCAGTTTATGTCGAATCTTAATAAGGAGTTACTGTTTGCCCATTAAAGAAGTTTGACAGTCTGAGGTTGCTCTCTTTTTTTAAAAATATTTTAATTTTTTATTTTTTTTTATCTGCCACATAACAGTGAAGAGAAGTTGTGTGCTTCTGTAGCCCGTAAACCTCTGGAATGTCTCAAAATCACCATTTGTCATGAAAATGTGGTGCCGTTCTTCAAAATGTGGTGGAAAAGTTCTGATTTTATTTCATGTTTAGTGCAGTTCTCCTAAGATCTTCCATGGTTCCAAGCACTAGAGAAAAGAATCTATTCTTTTAATAGTATTTAATGAATTATTATATTTATATACTTCAATACTACTCTTCTAAAGATCCTGTTGCTGTTTAACCTGCCATCTTACAGAACCACAAGTTCAAGTCAACGCAGGATGCCAGAAGGTGCTCTGGAGCATCTCTCCTCTGCGGGTGTTGGTCTTCCTGTAAGCCCTTCCACCTTCCAGCATTTGTGTTGGGACAATCTCTTCCTGAATTTCCTGCCATGCTTTATTTCAATACATCTTCCCTTGTCAGTGCAGGACTGAACCCAGCCTCCTGGTAAGTGATACCTAAATCACCGCTGCAAGGAGTGGATGAAATATGAGCGAGTGAGAGGGAGGCAAAGGATGTGACTGAGGAAGAAAAACTCGCAGAGCAAGGAGAAATATGGACAGGGTGTGTAAAACGGTGTGTTCCTCAGCTCCTGCTCGCTGCTGTGATACAGGACACGTGTGTGTGGACACAGATCTCTGCCTCTTGCCGTGAAATGATGAGATGATCCAACGTGAGCGTGCGGTCGTGCTGTGCAAGTGCACGTTCGTGACGACTCAGGTATTTATTGCACATGCAGTGGCATCTCTGAAAGCAGCTGGAAATCCACCTTTGTACATGCTCAGCAGCTGGCTTTCACCAGCAGCAATGCTCCTGCAGCCTGTACAAGGCCAGAGCAGCCTCATCAATGCCTCACTGTGGGTGTTCATGGAGACCGCTCGGCCCTGTACCTTTGGGCGAGGCTCTTTGAAAGGCATTAAAAAATGGTTGCCCCAGGCAATAAAATCACACTGAGGCAAGCAGCAGAGCCAGAAAGAAAAACAGTGAGTGTAAATCACTCTGAGTTACCTGGGGAGAAAATGGGGAAGGTGGGATGAGAGCTGGTGGCAGGATGTGAGAGTGTCATCGGCTGGAGGGAGGTTGACTGTGGAAGGACCTGCTTGTGTGTCTCCAAATTGTGCACTCCATGAGGGGTCTGGGGTGGGCTCCATATTCCCATGGGACAGAGAGCCCTCAACCCACTGTGGTGGGAGCAGCTTTCTCCCAACTTCAACCTGAACGTATCGGCTTGTGTTTGTTCCTGAGCCAACGCTGTCCCTGAGCCTGGGCAGCTCTCCTCTCCCCCTTCTCTCCTTCTCCTCTCCCACGTTTGTGGAGAATGATGGTATCTCTGCTGCTCTGTGTTCCGTGAGGCCGAGCACGCCGGCCCCTCTGCGGTTCCCCCGCTGTCCCGGCAGCCCTTTTGCCGCCCGGGTTCCCCCCCAAATGTGTCTCTCTGTTGAACATGGGTGACCAGACCCGAACAAAGTCCCCAGATAAGATCTTCCTGGGGCCCTGCACAATGGAAACTTCCGTGAAGCCTGGCCAAGGCATCTGCTGAGGGGTGAGATTCTCATTCCTGCGGGATGAGATTTTTCCTTTGAAATCCGTGTTCGTGCTGCCCTCGGCTCACTCAGCTACCACAAGCGTTGCTTATTCAAAATTGTATTTATTGCTGCCTCTGTACATTTTGATACAATTTCATTTTTTTTCCACCATCAATCTGTGACACGTGACAGATCCAACTGAAATCAATTTGAAGCTTGGTCTCAAAAAAGCCAACACGTATCAGGTCTCTGCAACCTCTCCGTGTTGCTTTTTCTCAAGAAAATATTTCTAGGACTGCACTTGAAACAGAAATGAGCGTTGAAAGTCCCACAGCTCCTCAGGGATGGGCAAAAGCAGATAGTTTCCTGCTTTAAGCCTCCTTGAACCCAAGCTCGTGTGCTCTGTGTGCTGCCTTCCCCCACAGCCAGCCCCATCAGCCTCCTGCCGGGTTCAGATGCTTCAATAACTCATGATATCCTAAATAAGATGGTTTCCTCAAAGCATGGGGATCCCTGCAATGGTTGCAGGGCATCCTTTTCAAGACAGACTGTGGGAGGAAAAAGTGGCATCCGAGTGACCCAGGCCACGGAGGGAAATGGCAGCCGGTCAAGTCAGTGCTGACGTTGCCTCGTGTAAATCAAGAGAGGTGGCAGCTGGGTGTTGCTTGCAAGGAGCAGGAGCAGAGGGATGGCTGCTCATGGGCCAGGGAGGCTGCGAGGAAAAGGTGTGTCTGCTTGGCTGCAGGTTTTTATATAAGGGTGACTCCTTTCATCTCAGCTGCGGGGAAAAAGGGGACTTCGCGGAGCCTTGAGGAGCCCAGAGGAGCTTGAGTGGAGCCGAGCCCCTGTCTCAGCTGGCTGTGGCTGATTCAGGTAACATCCTCTGTGCACTGGTTGTGTGGTGGCAGGGTGACAGCTGTGATGGAAGGGTCCTCGCTCTGGAAAGACACGTGCAGCGTGCCTGGTGCTCGGCTGCTTCATTTGGAGGTTGCGCTGGGCTCCAAGCTGTGTCTGCCATTTCATAATGAAATCTGATTTGGATAATCATTAAATTATAACTTTTAGCTAGCTTGTTTTTAATCACTTATGCTTCAGTTTATTGCTTTTTGGAAGTTAGGAAGAACAAGGATAATCCTCAGATGCTTCTCTTGGCAGAGGCCTTCACTGAAACACCTGCAACTGCTCATCAGAGGGATAGAGAAATAACTTAAACATCAGTTTGGGGGAAAGCAGTTTGGCTTCTTTTGAGGAGGGATTTCTTGCTCGACTTCTTTCCTACGAAAGACCTCCTAAATCCTTCTGAGAATGTTCCCCCCCACTGTTCCCTCTGATGTCTCCCTTGCCAGCAGGGGAATCTTCTGGAGATGATGGTATTGAAGCTTTTTGGAATCATCTTTTTCTGTGGCCTCCTCTCGCCCTCTCAGGAAGTCTTGTCTGGTCTGTCCTGCGCTGTCAGTCCGAGGGCATTGCAGAATGGTAACTACAAAAAAGCATGAACTGTGTTTGTTTTGAAAGCTCTGGGGGATCATGAAGGAGAATAAAACCTCCTGAGTGTCTTCATCTTTATTTTATAGTTCCTCAGGGCTGCAGACTTTGCTCAGAGCCCCTGAGAGCCATTGCTGGGTTCACAGGTCAGGGAAATCTCTCCTCCAGAACTGGGGCATGTTTCAGTACCAAGCAACCACACAGAACTTCAGGGCTGGATCTGGGTTATTTCCTCTTTTTGTTTCAGTTTCTCATTTCCATATTGGAGCACCTGATGTTTGACAAACAGCTGCTGTGAAGTAGCAGCCACGATAATATTTGCAATGCTCTGGTTCGTTTCAAGTTGTTTCTACTAAAAAAACCCACAAAAACAACCAAACAAAAAAAAACCCCAAAGCAAAAAGAAGCAGGCAAAAATCAACAAACAAAACCCATTGACAAATGGAAAATGAGTTGTGGGTGGAAGTCCAGCCTCTGGGTGGGGTCACTGGTGTTCCTGGCAGCGCACAGCCATCACGTGCCCTCCAAAACCGGGGGGTCTGGGATGTTAATTCACCACGGGGAACTTTGGTTTAGTGCATGTTGCAAAATACCATCCCCGTGTATTTAGACAGCATGGAGACAACTGATAACTCTGTGAGGAGTTCTGGGGAGCAAAGGGGCTTTGCTGTGCCCCATCTTTGCCAGGACAGGATCACGGAACCAGGTCGGATCTGACCGAGTGGGGAGAGGTCACTGCCGCCCGTGCTGGTCCTCACACACGGATGTTTTCCAGTTCTCTCAGATGCCATAATTCATAACGGGCTTCTCCAGCAGCACCTGCAGGGCCTCGTGCTCCCCAACATCATGGGTGAAGGGGGTCTGCTGAACTCTCCCACCAGCATCACGGGGTAAGTGCTTCGCCGTGAGTGCACCTTCACCATCAGTTCTGAAGCAAGACAAGCTGAGCTGCTGGTGATGTGGTTGGTTGGCCCAGGCCGTTACCCTCGTTTTATCATGATACTGAAATTCTGACCCAGTTGAAGTTATCTGTGTGGTAGCAGTGCAGGTGACAAGGTGCACTGCAGATTATGGGTGAGGGTGCAGAATGACAGCTCTGGTGGTGGCTGCTGATGTCTGAGAGAGGGCAAAGGGACCACAGAGGGGAAAAATCTATCAGCTCTACAAACTCAGCTTCCACCCCAGTCTTGTTCTAGGCTGCCTTCTCCTGGCTTTCAGCTGTCCCTTATCCTCATGCCTCTGGCTGGAGGTGGCTGTGGTGCTGTTTCTGCCACAGGTTCCTCGCTGGGTACAGCTGCTCAGCTGCTGGAAGATGTTTTTAATTTGTGCCAGCCTTTACTGTTGTTCACAGCCTGCACCTCGTCCAGGTCCGGCTGCCCAGGCTGTCGGTGGTGCTGCTGCCAGGGATCGGGGTCCAGCTGACCATCGGGGCAAAGCTGCAGCTCAGTGGCAAATGGTGAGTGGGGGGATACACAGTGGATGATGAGGGGAACCCCTACTCTGCCATATTTTGCATGTTTTATGGATTTTGGGGTGTTTCTTACCTTGCAATATAGTCACGGAGCAAAACAGGCACCAGAAGGTGGCTTTGTGACATTGGTAATGGTCTGAAGGACAAGGAGGTGCAGTCTGCTCCTTCTAGCTTTGCTGAGTTTCTCTGTGTAGAGGCTGAGAGATGAAATGCATCCCATTTTCTTTTTTTGCAGCTTGGTTGGCCTGCTCTCAGAACTAATTGATATCTTAGTGGATGTGAACATCACCGCGAACATTAAATGCACGAATTTTGAATCTGGCACGGTCCAGGTTGTCACTGAAGACTGCCTCTGCATTCTTGGGGCCATAAAGATCAAGGTCCTTTCTGGGTAAGTGCCTGTGGATTTATGTTTTCCATTGCATGCAATCCTCTCCTCTTTATCCAACAGTGTGGACAGTCTGCCAGGACACAGGCAGAGCTCAGCTGATACAGAGCCAGACCTCAGGGACAGAACTTCTTTCCTATTGCCAAAGCCAGTTGCTTCAGTGGAAATGGAATGAGGATTAATTTTCCCTGTTTATCTGTGGAAATTTTAGTATCTGAAGCATGAGGTTTGGTACCTTCTCCAATATACTTTCTAAAGACTCAGCTAGTGAATTGATATCCAAAGGGTACAAGTAATAGGGCAGAGAGAGTTCTAGGAAAACAGAACCATTGCTTCTCCTGGTTTTACTCTCTGCCTTTGGCTGCCGTTCCAGATGAATGCTGGGCATGTGGAGTTTCCCTCTGACTGCTGTGGATGCATGTAATTCCATGCAAATGTCCCATCTCTTGCTCAGTCTTATTAAATTCTTGACAGCAGGAATTTGCTGACTTCACGTATTGATGGACGCAGCAGTAAATTGATCATGGGAAATATTTTCTTTTATTGCTTTTGAATTACTCACTTTTCAGGTTCATTGAATTTCTCCTAATTATTTTTTTGCATTATGCACTACATATTTCAATCAGTGCAGCAGCTGCTTTGAAAAATGCTGGGTGAGTGAATAGGAGAACACGGCTCACCTGCTCTCGGGGGTCATGTTTTAAGTTTTAGCAGGATTACAGCGATGGTGTGCGGGAATTGAGTTCCCAGGGGGGGTAAAGGGAGCGTGGATGTACATGATTGACTTCATGGCCCCTCCTCAGATGCATCTGTAGGTAGAATTTCGGCATAAATAACAAGATGCTCTATGAATTCCTGCTGTCTGTGGCTTGCCAACTCAACAGTCCAGAAATATATTGATCATGAGACGTAACTGGCTCTGTGCTGCTGCAGGCGTTGCACGTCCCGAGTGAGCTGTTCAGCAGCAGCGTGGAAATGTCACACAGCAGATTTCTCCTCTTGTTGTTCCAGATGCAAATTGTTTGCTCCCGGTAACTAACAGGAGGATATTTCCTAACAGCTCCCTCTTCCCTTAACTACAGCACTGATTTAAATACCGGAGGGAGACACGAAACACAGGTTATTCTGTGAGAGGCTCGCTGCTTTTTGTGCAGTGATATCTGTGCCCTCTAATTGCTGAAGGAAAAATTTCTTCACAGAAAGGGCTGTCAGGCACTGGAACAGCCTGCCCAGGGAAGTGGTAGAGACACCACGCCTGGAAGCGTTAAAATACATGTGGTTATGGCACTTGAGGACATGATTTAGGGGTGATCATGGTGGTGCTGGGTTGATGGTTGGACTTGGTGATCTTAGAGGTGTTTTCCAACATTACTGATGCTGTGATTCTCAGCAATGAGCCCAATTCTCCCCTCAGTGGGGCGAGTGGCCCCTTTGCCCCCCAGCCCTCTGTCCAGCCCCTGCTCTGGCCGATGTCAGCCATAACAGTGGCCCTGATGAAGGCTGGAGATCCTTTGGTCTCCTGTCCTGGAGCTTTTTTTGGTACTGACTGTGAGTTTTTTTTCTGACCTTTCCAGCTTACTCACCCTGTCAGTGAATGAGATGGTGCTTCGCCAGCTGACAGCAACCCTGCCCGCTTTGGTACGGCTGAAGATTGCCCTCCTTTCCCAGCTGAAAGGCAGAGATACTGGGAAAAATATGTTACGAGGTCACAGCCAGCTGCACCATCTCTCTGTGCTGCTGCTCTCCCACGTCACTGGCACGTGCCACGAGGCAGGAATGTTTGTGGGCAGCCTGGCAGCTCCAGAGGGATATTCCTGAGATATTCCCCAGGGCAAAGCCTTCCCCTTCAGTGTTGGTCCCACAGCCCCGGGGTTGCTCCCCTGCCCCCAGGTCTTTCACAGCATCCCAGCTGTGCCCAGTGCCACGCAGCACTTGCTCCATGGGGATTTAGGTGGGAGGGAGGGGGGTCTGGGCAGGCTGTGGGTGACGGTGGCGAGGGGGGCTGAGCGGTCGCTTTCCTGCTTCGTGTTGCAGCTCTGCCCTGTAGTCGACATCGTGATGAACCTCGTGAACATCCAGCTCCTGGGCACTCTCAATGGTGTGTTTCTTGTGGAGGATGAGGTGCTGCTTCTCCACGTTCCCCACAGTGGGAAGGGCCGTTCCCACGTCAAATCCACCGGTGCATCAATAGAATTCCAACACTTCCTCAGGGCTGCTGTTGAACCTTGAATTCACACCACAGCACTCCAAGTGAACTGCTCCCACCTTGGCCCTCCTTATACCAGTTTTATTATTTTCTTTGATGCTCTTTTTGGGCTATATCCCAAAGGCAGATTCCCACAAGCTAAATTAGGGGAAGTTTTGGCCGTTTGGAGTAGCAGCAAGCACACTGCAGCAGTGAATCTCAGACCGTTTGTGGGTGTGGGGGCTGGTGGACTGAGGGATCAGGGAGGAGGCTGTGTTGCTGCTTATTTCCTGGTGTTGTAACGATCCTTTCCCTGTGTGTAGCTGTCATCCCAGTTGGCACGGCAGGAACGATCCACTACCAGCTGGCCAGCATCCCCTATACCTCTGGCAAGTTCCTTGGGCTGGATTTAGATGTAAGTTAATGCTGGGCAGCAGGACCCTGGGAGCAGGGCTGTGTGTTGCCTTTCACTCTGCTCACCTCATCCCGTGGGAGCTGTAGAATCCTGTGGAGGAGCTGAGCTAATGACTTGTCCTGGAAATGCCAGCTCCTAAGTATTTAGATCTTTATCCAAGCCACCACTAAGCAACTGTGTGTGCTTTTCTCCAAGTTTGCTCTGTTCTCAAACTTACCCTGAGTCTGCCCGAGACTGTCTGTTGAATGTAGCTGTTGGGATGAGCAGCCCTCCCTCTCTTGGGATGAGCAATTTTCCTCCTCTCCTCCACCCTGCAGACCTGGTGTTGGTATTTCTTGCCTTTGCTGTTCAGCCTCTGTGGTGGGTGAATGCTAAACCAGGCTAATGGATGTATTTTTTACTTCTGTCTCACTGGGGGGGGGGGGGAAAGCAGCAAAAAAGCAAACTGCTTTCTAACAGAAGAGCTTAAATAAAAGCAAGTGGCTGGTGAGAAGCAGCTGAGACATTAGCACTAAAGAGGAGCAACCACTGATAGCAAACACTGCAGCCTGTGAAACCCTGCTGCTGCACTGGCTTTGGAGCAGTCAGTTCATAGGGATGAGTCTTTGTCCCCCCCAAGAACTTTGAATGGTCAGAGTTGGTCTCCATAGCAAGTAGATGGTGTCAGTGTGGTTTTCTGTGGAGTTGGAGGGTGGCTGATGCCTGGCTGGTTGTGGGAGGGCTGGGGCTGCTGGCAGCAGCACTGTCTCCCCTTGTTTGTGCCTGGAGTGAGACCTCAGGGATGAACTGACGCAGCGAGTTGTGATTTGGACAAAGCACGCTATTATCTGAGAAGGCCTCAGTTACGCACACGCGACTTTATCAGCTCCTGTCATCTCTGGAACACAGAGGGAGCTGCTCCAAGCCCGGTGCTTTCCCAGAGCTCTGGCGAGCAGAGCTCAGCTGGCACCAGCCCCACCCTCCCGTCTCGAGGATCTGGGCCTCGTGGCTCTGAGGACAGGATTGATGGATTGATTGATGTCCGTGTCACCTCTCCCTGCAGGGTGCGGTGAAGCAGGTGGGAGGCATCACCATCCCCCACGACTCATCCCCCTCCGCTTTGCCCCCGCTGATGGACAGGCTCCTGCTCCTGGTGTTGCGCCCGAGCTTCATCAACGCCATCCTGGCCCTCCTGCTCCGGATGCCGCCGCAGACCTTCCCCTGCACGCCAGATGTTGTGAGTGCAGCAGCACCTGTATTTCGTGCCAGAGTGGGTGACAAGGGACAGGCATCAGCCTGGCCTTGGGTCTGCTCAGGGAGGGCTGTTTGAGGCATCCCTGGTGCTGCTGGGGCTGTATGTGCGTGTCCCTGCGCCTGTCCCTGTGCTCGCTGGCAGAGGCTGGAGCCTCACTGCTGCCTCCTTCCTGCTCTCCTCAGAAAGCTGTAATAGCATCTGCACTGCTCAGCTGTGCCTGTTTCTGTGTGGGCACCCCAGGGACACCTGTGGAGAGCAGTTGTGTACTGCTTGTGCCGTGGACTCCTGCAGACTGTGATCCGTTTCAAGTAACCTGCTAAATGTCACTGAAAAAAGCCACTGTGTTCAGTGCCATTACCTGGGTGTTTCCACCTCCTGGGCTGGGAGTCACTCAAACAGCTGAGGAACAGTGGAGAGGGTGGGCGGCTCAGGGGGCTGTGCAGTGGGGTGGCCCCGGCAGGATGGGTGCTGTTGAAGTCAACTGGAGTGCTGGTGCTTCTGTTCCCACAGTTCTCTGGTGCCACCCGTCTGCACGAGGCCCTGTGGACAGTTGCTCCTGCTGGGGTGAGTAACTGGTTCTGGCACAAGGGTTTGTGAAAACCCCGCCGGGTCCGAGCCACCCATGAGGACTGCTGGTTCCCTGCTTGGCTGGTGTGTGCGGTGCCAGAAGCCACCTCCACGTGTCCCCAATTCCCACAGTGCTCCACCTGCCGTGGGACCAGTCCTCTGAACATCAAGCTGACCCTGGGTGGGAACCCCCTCATCCTCTTGGAAGAAAACAAAGCCAGTGTCGAGCTTTCAGTCCTGATCCATGTGTTCCTTAACCGCCTAGATGGATCCGTCCTCAACCTCCTGCTGCTGAAGGCTGTAAGTGAGGATGGAGTCACCTCCAAGGGGTGCCAGCTGGGTGGCTGGTGGCCGGGATGGGGATGTTTCCAGGTGCTGATCCTCTGCCTCTCTGCTGGCAGGACCTGGGTCTAAACGTCCGCGTGTCGATCGTGGGGGGCAGGCTGGTGCTGCGGCTGGCCCTGCGCAGGTAGGCTGGCCCTGGGCAGGTAAACTGTTCTCCTCATGCTGGCTGGTGACATTCTCTGTGTTGCAGCTGTAGCTCTGGGGCCACTGACTTGAAGCAGTTTTCCATTTCTGTAAATCAGACGTTTCATTCTCAGAATCCGGGGATTTTCATGCCTGGCTGATGGCACGAGGTGGACAGGGTGGTTCAGGAAGGATTACAGCAGCTGGGAAGTTTTAGGAGGCTGGGGGGAAAGTGTGTCAGTTTTATAACAAGGAGGAATGAGGTAACCTGAATAATTGTAAGACTGTCAGCTTGACTTTGATCCTGGGCAGTGGTTAGAAAATGCCTGATATTGGACATGAGTGATAAAAGAGTAAAGGAAAGTGCTGTCATTAATGCCAGTCAAGGTATGATTAAAGATTGGAGAGCATTCCTTATAGCAGGAGGTTTGAGGATTTGGGGCTATTTAGCTTGTCAAAGAGCTGGATTTAGAAGCAAAATTGGCATAGCTTGTATGCAGCGATATAGGGAATAGAAATGCATCAAAAGGCTTTTAATTCAATAGACAAAGGTATAAGAAGATTCAATAGAAGTAGAAAAGAGAAATTGAAAGTGGAAATAGAGCATCCATTTTAGGTATGAGTAGTTGTGTGATCGCAGTGATAGATGAGGAGCTGTAGCAAAATCTCCAGGTCCTTAAATCCAGGCTGGGTGTTTTTACACAGAATCACAGGATGGTTTGGGTTGGAAGGGACCTTAAAGATCCCCCAGTTCCTTCCCCCCCTGCCACGGGGCTCTAGAAGCTCTGCTCTCAGCTGTCAGGAGCTGACTCCTCTCTGAAGGTGAATAACCTGTGCAGGGAGAGGAAAGGGGCAGCAAGGAGCTGTGTGTGTGCCCTGCTGTAGTGCTTCTTCCTCGACAAGCAAATAAAAATTAGGTTAAGTTTTTATTTTCCTCTTATATTTTCTCTCTTGCAAGTCTTTTTGTGTTACAATGGAGGGACCCCTTTGTGGGTGATGCCTCACGGGGGTCCCTGCCCGTGGGCTGAAGAATCTTGTGCTTGGAAGTGGCCAGGGTCTGGCTGTGAGCTCTGGACAGTGCCTTGTGTCTGACCTGCTGTTTGCTCTTCTTTGCCTGCAGCACTTCCCTCTCCTTGGAGTCCTCTGATGTTGGCATCAGCAATGTAAGTCTCTGGTACCACTCTGGGCTTTACTGGGCGGGCAGAGCCAGCTTGAGAATGGTGCCCTGTGGTTTCAGGAGAGGGGGGAAGGGAGCCAGGCCATGCCTGTGGGATGCTGTGGTGGATTGCTCCTGCTGATGGTCATAGCTGTTAGCTGCTCTGTGGTGTAGGCTGTAGCAATTCTTCTTTTGCTGTTCTTTTTTCCCTTCTGCCTTTCCTGATAACACAAAGATAAAGCCAAAATCTGTTTGTTCATTCACCCCTGCTCGGGCGAAGCTCACAGAGATCTGCAGCAGGAGTGTCACCAGGTAGAAGTTTTCCCAAAGAAAACACTGAATACAAATTGAGGAATAGATTTGCTTTAAAGAGAAGAGGGACTGTTTGTTCTTTTGCTGTGTCAGTGCAGGATGGGGTCTCTGCTGTCATGGGCAGGTCAGTGCCCCTCATGTACTTGTTCCTTCTCTGGCTCAGATCTCAATCCTGAAGCCCCACTGCAGCAGTTTGCTCACGGAAACATTACTGCCTGTGATGAATGGTAAGGTGATTGAGGTGGCTGTGACGTTGGGAGTGCTTGGATTTCTGGAGAAGGAGGGGAAAAGGGGATGTGTGTGTGTGTTTGGAAGCTCTGGCAGGAGAGCAGAAGCAATTAAAGCTCTCCAATCCCCATTCTGAGGCTGGAGTGAGATGTCCAACATCATTCTTGCACCATCCCACCCCAGCATCAGTCCTGGCAACAGTCAGTGGCAGAGAGTGTAAAGAAAGCCAAGTGCATGGTGGTGCTGCAGTCAGTGCTCCTGAGCAGCTCTGTCGTGGGGCATGAGCTGAGTCAGCCCTTGACGGTGTGTAAGGACCTGTCTGTCTCCTGCAGGTGCCCTGAGCATCGGGATCCCGCTGCCAAACGTGCTGGGCATTCCCTTGGTAAAGGTGGATGTTCAGATATTAGCGGTGAGTGTTCAGATGGGCTGTTCCCTCCTGTAAGGAACCAGCACAGGCCGCCGGGGATGTTTACAGGATCTTGCCAGTGACGGTGGTGTGGACAAGAGCTGTAGATTTTAACCCCTGAAAGGTCAAAATGGCTGCTCTGTCTGGCTTCCCTCAGATCAGGGAATGCTGCCTGAGGATGTCATGCCCACACATGGACCCAAGTGTGTCATGAGCAGTGCTCAGACCCCGGGGCAGGTCCTGTTTTCCCGTCCAAACCTTCTTTCCTTTCTGGAGAACTTGATGGAAGAAGCTCTGATGTGGATCTGGGAGGGTCATGTAAGTCCTTTCCAGTGACACTTTCAAAGTGTCTGAATTGCACCGAGTTCCAGCCCTGTGCACCCTGCAGGTGTCCCAGAAGAGCTGGGATGTCCTCTGACACTTCCAAAAGGGTTCTGAGCCCTCCTTATTACAAACTGGATGTGAGGATTCTTGCAGGAGGCTTTTCTCTTTGTTTTGTGCTGTGAACCAGCATCCCTCAAAGTTGGGAAATAACGTGGATGTGTCTCTCCCTGCTCTCCTTCAGGGCCTGATCGTGCTTCTGGTGTGAGCTGGGGAGCACAAGGCACGGGGGAGTCTGCGGGGACAGAGAGAGGAAGAGACCAGCGAGAACAGAGCACCAGGGCCAGCATGATCTGCTTTTCTTTCCTAAACTTGATTCAAGATTACTGATAATATTTAAGACACTCTAAAGTGAACTGGCTTGTGTGAGTACAGCTACACTTGCATCAGCCAAACCCAATCGGCAGCTCTGTGTACAAATATTTATTTAGAGAAGTTGGTGTGATTTTGGGGTCACAGTCACAGCAGCTGCATGTGATGCTGCAGTGGAACTGGGAAATTTGTTCTGAGGTCAAGCTCTTCCTGATAGAAAGAAGAAGTGAACTTGTTGCATGTGGCTTCCAAAGTGAATCCAGTTTTGGGAGGGTGTGAAGTGCTGAGTGCGAGCTCAGGGTACATTTGTCATGTAACTCTTTTAATAAATGTTCCTACTTTTTTAGTGCTCAGAATGAGGTTCTGGTTTCTGATGCTTCTCAGGGAGAGTTCTGTCCTGCCCCCACTCTGGGATCTGCTTCCTTTGTGACAAACGATGTTTTGGTTTTGAGTTTGAAACCTCTTCCCACTCGAACTTTCTGAGAAAAGAAAATACTTGGAATTTCAGTGGCTCCTCCTGGCTTGGTAACCTGCTGACCAAATGCTAATCCACAAGCAGAAATCATAATTAAATCGAATTTTCAAGGGTCATGAAGCATTTCCTGATAGAATCTGAAGGGAAAACTTCATTACCAGAGAAATGAGAGAGGTCTGACAGCCCTGGAGCACACCCGCCTGCCTGCCAGAGCCACATCTGCTTGGGCCCATGTCACAATCTGTTGGTATCTGCACATCACAGGGACAAGAATCACAGCACTTTGGATTTCAGAAACACAAATTGTTCCGGGTAAAAAGAAAAAAAAAATAAACCTGAGGTTTTAAATGGCCTCTCCGACACCTGTTTTGCCAAGCACTGGACGTGATCATGAGCCTGTTATTTCCTACTGGTGCCCCAAGAGCCGGTGGTGGAACGGCACTGCTGCAGAACGGGTCTGGCACTGCCCAGGTGAGGGGTGGGGCAATGTTCCACTCCACATTTCTGCCTGAAAGGGACAAGGCTCCACGTTTAATCAGCAGACTGGGTACAGCCTCAGTGCCAGAACCCTGCAGTGAGGGGTGTCTGCAGAGCGAGGTGCCAACAAGCTGTGGAGCATCGGGCTGTGCTCAGGAGCAGGGAGATCAGATCCCATTGATCATGTTCTCTGACACCAGCGTGCCCACGTTGCTGGCAGAGGGGTCTGTGTGACCCTTTTACCCAGAGGGCAGGATGAGCAGCCCCAACTGCATGTGCTGCCAGCTGGTTTGTGCCACTTCGGGGTTCCTGTGCTGTTGGGGCTTGGCGTCTCCATCCATCCTTTCTGCCCACAGGTTGGCAGAACAGGCTGTGTTTGCACAAGGTTTTGTTCTGGTTCCTGAGCAAACACCTTCTGGACAGTAAGTAAAGTTTAGCCTCTCTTTTCACACTCGTTTGGCCATCACTTCTGTGTGCATTCTGCCCTGCTGGGGGAGATTCATTTTGCTGGCGTGTTACGGAGCACTCTGTGATCTGTCACTGTCCCGGGGCTCTGCTTAACCTGAGAAAGAAAAGGCAGTGGGAAGCATGTGATGAGAACTCATTGCTGCGAGGAGCCAGGCCAGGGCTGCCAGCCCAGGGTCACAGAAGAGCAGAAAACTCATCTCATGCCCCTGGAAAAGGCCTTTCCTCCTGGGATTTGGCCTCCGCCATGCCGTTCGTCCCACGAGGCTGAGTGGGGAAAAAGCAGAGGAGCCTTTTCCAAAGGAAAGGGCAGCATCTTCTCAGTTTTCTGCAACTTGTGCATCTAAGGCTCTGAATTTCTAGCAAGCTCAGGAGTATACCCAGAGCAGGAAACTGCAATTCAGAATCAATAATCTCTGGGACAATCCTGTCTAGGAAAATTTCCTTAGTACTGGAGCCTTGACAGGCTGGAAAATCTTTTGGTGGGTGAGCAGCAGGAGGAGGTGCAAGGGGCTGGCTGTGCTGCTGGCAGTGCATGGGACTGGGGCTCTCCAGCTCTTGCTCCAGGAATGCCCCTGGCAAAGCTTTATCCCTCTGCTGCTCTGTGGGGGCTGGAGATGGGCTTGTCCCCACTGTATCAGCACTTGAACCATTCTGTTGGTGCATCCTGCTCCACGTGCCACTGGCAAAGGAAGCCAAATATGACCAGGCAGCACTTCCTGCAGGACTGCCCAGAAAGTGATGGATCTTGTCTATGCCAAAGGTGCTAATACAAACACTTTTTTCCAGCATTTCTTTTCCCAGGTTAACCCAAAGTGGCAGCTGGGGACAGCACTGCCTGCCTGCTGAAGGCCCAGCTGTGCTGGGGGGGCTCAGTAAGTGGGGTGACTGGAGGGAGAAGCAGAAGACCCCCGTTCTCCAGCATAAGCCAGCTCTGCTCCAAGCCTCTGGCTGCTTTCAGGTGGGATGTGGGGCTGGGGGTTGGGGGGGTGCAGCTCCTGAAACCCCAGCCCTGCACTGGAGAGGCAGAGCCACGCAGTGAAGCCTAGAGCCAGAACATCCCCTGGCAAAGAAATACATCTCTTTACTACTGTAGCTTATTCCTTTTGGGAAACTGGTTTCAGATCTATTAGTCAAAGGATAATGGTTGCAGCTCTACCAGGAAACTTTTTTTAGGAGCAGTTCGTGCTATGGCCAACTTTGGGCATTAACATCATTAGTCAGGTCCCCACGCTGGGCACGTAAGAATCTTCAGGGTTCCTTACTCCTTGTAGTAAATCAACCTGGCTTGTTTTGTTTGCCTTCCCATTTTCTGAGCCTCTGAAAGATGAGGTTTTGAAGTGTTTTTCAGCAGCTCCAGGGGCTAGAAATGATGGCTGTAGCTGTGGCAAGTGAAAGCAGATGTAGATGTAATTAATACGGTTTTATGGCTGGGGCATTACGTGAAACATCACCATGGGAGAGCTGGGCCTGGAGCTGCATGGTCAGGGTTCAGGATGCTCCTCCTGGGCATCAGCCACGTGCTTGCCCTGGCCAAGGGCATCTGCCAGCAGCACCTAGTGACTGAGTGACTGGAGCAGCTTTTGGAGCTTTGTTACCACCCACCCTTCCCCTTTGGCTGCTCCTGTCTGCTGTGGATGTTTTTTCCCCCCCCAACTTTAGTTTCCTGAACAACCTGGAGACACATCTGGTCAGCAGGAAAGAGCATCCCAATGCCAACGGCCGTGGCACTGGCGCAGTCTGACGCCTGCAGTCACCTCTCATTCAGCACTTTCCCTGTGATGAGCTTTCTCAGCAGCCAAGTGTTGAAAATATAACTGCCTTCATGTCTAAAATTAGAAACCATTCTGCAGACTGATTTCCTCCCCCTCCTCTTCTTCTTTCTGACCCAGGAAACCCAACAGCCGTAATGTTCCCATAGTAACACGAGACATGGAGGAAAGGCAGATGAAAGATCTCTCGTGGTAGGGGCCATGCCATCCTGCAGCTGAGAAGGCAGGAGGCTGCTTTGCATCCTTGTAAATGAGGGGGATCTTCATGCTCCCTTAATTAAATGTCTGGACATCTGTACTGGTACCAGTTCTTAGCAAGGCAAAATTCGTCTGTTTGTGGGTACAAATTGCTGAGGGGGAAAAATGTCAGTAGGCACACCAGAAAATGCAGAATTAAAGAGAAATGTTTAATTAAAGCACGGAATGTTGTTATAATCCATCTTCTGTGCAACAGAAGTGCCAGGGGTAGGGCTGGAAGAAAAAGGTGCTAGTGCAACGCTGTTATTATCCAGAATACGACACCGTGATGTTTTAGTAAGGCCAGAAAGAAGATTTTGAACACTTCAAGCAGTGACAAACCACGGAGTGTGATGTGAGAGTCGACAGAATGCTTTTGCCACTGTTTCACTCCAGATACCAGGCTTCAGCCCAGGGTGGTTGCCTTGCCAGTCCTCGCCTCTAGCTGGAGGTTGCAGGGGATCAAGACATAATCCTGAGCAGAGGAGGAAGGAGGGCTGAGCATGGTGCCTGTGTGGTTCCCTCAGCCCTCACGAGGCTCACCACCACCCAGAGCCCCTCTGACACAGCCAGGGCCTGTGTCCATGGGGCTAAAGAGGGGCTGGGCCTATTTAAATCAACAAAACTTGATTCTGCAGGTTACCAGAGCTGAAGGAGCAGACTGATTTATTCCAGAACTGGGAGGTTAGTATTGCTCCCATGCTCCCTCTAAACCAAACAAAGCAGAGAGCAATTTGAAGGTTTTGTTCCTTACCCTGTGAACTGTGACATTGACATCGGTGTAGGTGAAACTGGCGATGTGGGGCAGGAAAACACCTCCTCTCAGGACCACTGGGAAAAAAAAGAGGGAAAGTTGCAGGCTGGGTGCTGCCTGGATGTGTGCTGAGCACCTGCTCCCATCTCCTCACCGTTAATCTGGGCTGGCACCTCCTCACGGATCGTGGGCAAGAATAGCTCCTCCAGCAAGGCAGCCTGTGGGGGAAAACCAGGGTCAGCTCAGGGTGTGGGACTAAAGCAGGAGGCAGAGACACATGGGAAGGGGTTCTGATGCTCACTGCGCATCTCCCCATCCCACAAGGACCCAACTCTCCCTTCCACCAGGTGTAAGAGGGACTCAAAGTCAGTATTTCTGTATTTCCCTGTTGGCACCCACTGCCTGGGATGGCTGGAAGGGCTGGGGTCAGGAGCACTTACCAGCACAGGACCCACGTCAGAGGCAGCCAGGCTGAGCTCAATATCCCTGGAAAACAAAGAGCAGCTCAGGAGCTGCTGGTGCTGAGCTGTAACAAACAGTGACTTCCCTGTTTCCCCAGATCCCCTGGCTGGGCTCAGAAACAATGCAGGGGACAGAAGGTGCAATTCCCACTTTTCTCCCTAACCACATTTCTGGTGTCTCACCGTTTCCCTGAGGAAGGAGCCACCTCTGCAACGCCCAAACTCTAAAAGCTAAGAACTTCCCAGGACCCCTCTGCCTCTCCTTTCCCTGCTGTGCCTGTGACGTGTCCCCTTCAGGCGCCCAGAGCACAGCTGGGTTCATTACTCTATCGCTGCTGCAGAGATGATCATCCTCGTGTCCGTGACGCCGAGGTGGAGCCTTGCAGACACGTCCTGTGGAGAGAGCAGAGGGCAGGATCAGTGAGGAAATGGCTTTGAGCAGTGGGGCGTGATGAACCCACCCGTGGCTCGCCACCTGCAGCGTGCTCCCTGCGTGATGCCACATGGGCAAACGCTGCTGGAGAGCTGGGAGCGCTGGGATGGGAAAGGGCTGAGTCAGACCCTGTGGTGGATGCAACCAGACCAGGGCTGAGAGCAAGGGGCAGTGCCCGTGGGCAGCATGGGCACACTTCCTGAGCTCAGT